GCGTGGCGCTCTTTGTCTGTCCCAGTTTAACACCTGACAAAGTCAAACAGAAGAAAGGGCCTCAGCAGCAGCGGTGCCCGACCTGTTTTACATCAGTCGGTTCATGTCTGACAGAGTTTTCATGGCCTTTAAAGCGCCGCGGATAAATAAGATAAGATAAAACTTTATTAATCCCTCAGGTGGCTTCCTCTGGGAAATTCAGTTACAACAAAATACAACAAAATAAAACCAAAACAAGAAGATTTCTTTATGACACGGGAAAAGACCGAAACCGAGCTAATGATAAAAACCCTGAAAACCTTAAACTCCACAGCTGAGGTTCAACTCTCGCTACCTAACGTGGCCCCGCCCCTGAGAGCACACCTGCCCGTGGGAAAGCCTTCTTCAGGGAAACCTGATGTATCTGTTTTTCAGATGCTCTGAAAGTTTCATCACTCAGTCCGAGGGGACGATGTTTGTGTCCTCAGTGATGCTGAAACTAACACAGAGACAGAAGAACATCCACCTGCGTTTCTCAGCTTGTGTTCATGTTCAGCCATCAGAGGAAAGCAGAGCGAAGCAGCAACGCCGTGCTGCGTGAGAGCGTGCGTCCTCCGGGCTCGGAGCACATCTGCGTGCACCTTGCAGGCTGGTGTCATCTGAGCGGCGAGCTCGGGGACGTCCGCTCGCTGACGGCCTTTGAAGTGCTCAGAAGGTTCCGCTTAAAGCTGCTTAAAGCGAACCTTGTTGAAAGCGAGCCAGGGCGAGGAGGTGTGCAGAGATTACTTTGGCAGCAGTTAAAATGCACTCTGCGCCACGCTCTCTGAGGAGCTGATTGAGATGCAGCTCTCGCCCTCTTCTCTTGACCTTGAACAGCGTTTAACTAGAGGTGACGTGCAGAAGTCACAAGCGGCGCTAATTCGCATTAGCCAGCCTCCACCAGCAGCGGCGGCGGGTCGTCGGCTAGTTTAGATGCAGCCTGATGAGATGCAGGGCTGTTTGAATGCTAAAGAGGTCGTTAGCAGATAATAGCAGCGCATTAAAGGCAAAGCGCCGTTCCTCGAAATGAAGCGCGGCGTCTCTACCTACTACTCTTTGAGTTGGCTCGTGGAGTGTTTGTGCCTGGAGGTAGAGAGGGGCTGAGTTCCCCACCGGTTCCTGACTGCAGTTCTGCAGTGGCTGATGAAACAAACTGCAACCCTGTACCAGAGCAGCGTAAGAGTGCAGGCAAGTGTGAAAATACAATGAGAGCACCACTGGCTTAAAAACAGGGGGGGGGCACTGTGCTTGTCCTTCTCCATCACTCTAATTGTACTCTGGTCAAAGTTTGACTCTGTCAGCGAGCCGTGGGTTTTCCCTCGATCCTGCCAGCCTGGGAAGTGCAAACGTTTGAGTTTCTGACCAAAGCTCGTTTCTGTCCCGCAGACAAACACGAGACCAAGCTGAAGGGAGTCATCTACTTCCAGGCCATCGAGGAGGTTTACTACGACCACCTGCGCAGCGCCACAAAGGTACAAACCTTCATCCTTCTTTCCTTCACGCCTCCTTGTCTCCTCCTGTCACACAGCAGCATGTGCATCCTCGCTCTCTGCTCGCCGCCTGACCTCAGCCGCCGTGCGCTGTAGTTCTATTGTGCTGACACCCTCAGTGACAGTCGCACCCTAACTAATCCTTCCCTGTGTCTGTCCCACTGATCCCAGTACAGACCAGTGGAGTGTTTCCTCATTCATATGCTTCAGAATACATCCAAGCTGTATTTGTTAAGTGCTGCCTCTGTTCACAGTCGCCTGACGCAGCCGTAGGTGTCTCTCCGCTCGTGTTTCTCGCGGCTCGTCTTGAGCCTCCACGTCTTGTCACTTTATTTATCTGCGACATAAAGCCGAGCCGCTGTGTTTGACGGGCTGTCGCAGCACACCACGCTCTGACTGCGGGGCTCTGATCGACTCGGGAACTTTGATTCGACTTGTCACTTCCAATGCGGCGTTACAGAGGGAAGCTTCAGAGTCTGCAGCTCGTAGCAGCGGCACAAAGAGCTGATGTTGATGTCAGGAGAACGTGGGTCTGTTTTAATTAACAGCAATTTATTAGTGTTTTAATAGTAAACTAGCAGCATACTTCTCACCCTGCATTATCTTTTAGTATCAGTGTGGAAACAAAGGGGCCTGAAGCTGCATCTTTGTTTCCTGTGTGTGTCGTCTGACATGGATGTGTTCGCTGATCCACTGGCACATCTGTCAGTATTTATTTGGGCCCACGGGGGAAAGTAGAGACGGGGAAATGCTCTTTAAGCATGTTCTGAGTGTTGGTGTGGCCTAGTTTGTCCACCAGAGGGCACTCTGTGTTCCAACTGGGAAGTTACAAGAATCACCAGATTGGCTAAGCCGAGCAGCCGGGCAGGAGCGAGTGGATTGTAAAGAGCAGCAGCTGTGTGGAAACACTGGAGTGTTGGTGTGCAGCTGATGTTCGACGGCTCTAATGTTGGCAAACAGTTTTTTTGCCCGTGTAGCATCACAGCCTCAGCCCTCGGTTTCATTTAAGCTGTGCAACTGCAAGCTGCTCTGCAACCCACCTCCACCCTGCTGCTCCGCCTGCTCGGTCCTGCGGGTCTTCTTTCCAGCTCCTAGGAGAGGCTGCTGTGTTTAGCTTTTTGGCTACACAGAGCGAGGGATTCTGGCAGCTCAGTCTACGGACAAGCACTCGTTTGGTGTTTAAAAGAAAAAGAGAGCCTACAGCGAGTAACCCAACAGCTGCTGGTTCTAAAGCTCGTACAGGAAATGAGCTCAGCACCAGAGCGAGACACGTGCTGCACTTCACAGTAGCTGAGTGTCGTGACGGCTCGTGGCAGAGAAACCCCAACAATCAGACGAGCAGCACGCACTCTGTGACAGCGGGAAGGAAGAGCTTCCCTTTAACAGGAAGAAAACTCAAAACCAGGTTGGGGTTGAGGGGAGTCCTCGTGCTCCCGCCTCCTCTGTCCTGGTCTGCTCTCGTCTGTACCAGCATCCGTCCACCTGAGGGTCGTGCTGGGTTTAAATAGCTTCTTTTGCCCTTTGAGGCAGAAATGAGGTACGAATCCAATAAAAACACAGTGATGCTGCATAAACCTGAATCG